TATTATTAATATAATCATCATTACTATTATTGTAATTAACATTATTATTGTCACCATGATCAATTTGTCCTTATCATTCTTATTGTCAATTATTATTGTTATTGTTATTATCATTCTTATTACTATTAGCATGATCTTTATCATTATTATCATTGACATTGTCGTTGTTATTATTTTTATTATAATGATGATTATCTTTTTTATCCTTTTATCATTATCAGTATCATTATTATTGTCATCATTATTTTTATTTTTGTTGTTATTGATATCATCATCATTATTATCATCGTTATTATCATTATTATTATTACTGTTATTATATTATTGTTATTATTATTATTATTATTATATTATTATTATTATTATTATTATTATTATTATCATTATTATCGTTGTTATCATTATTGCCATTACAATTGTTGCTATTATTATTATCATTATCATTATCACCATTGTATTATTGTCATGGATGTTATTTTGATTGTTACCATTAATGATATTATTATCATTGATATTACGATTATTGTCATTGCCCTTATTATCAGTATGATGATTATTGCAATATTCCAAGTCTGTGCATCAGTATTGGTATTAATAACTGATTCGTTTTTATCATATTATCATTATTGCTATCATTACTAATCTCAACTCTGTTTTTATTGTTACTGTTTTCAATATCATGATCTTATTTCATAGTGCTATTGCTACTGTCTATATTTTTACAATTTTTTATCATCTTAATCATTATTATTCTTATTGGTATTAATAATAATACTATCATTGCTATATTCAGTATGATTGTGACGTCATCATACTATCAGCTTTATTATCATCATATCATTCTATATATTTTATTTTCAGTGGTCATTCCCTTCTATTTTTAAAAGTATATTATTTTCTTTGTTTTTCTTGTCTCTTTTTCTTTCTCTTTGTTTTGTTATACGTTCTTCCTCAATTCAAGAAACAACACGAATATTTCGAAATCGATCTTGCAGCAAAATGATCCATTATAGTTACTAAAAAAAAAAAAAAAAAAACGAGAAGAAAATAAATAAAATCCCATGATAGTTTATGACTCGAATATATATTGAATCATTCATTCATTCACGATCTTCGAATTCCTGATAGGATAATACTGTGCTATCCTCATTCACGAAATAAAATCAATCATTTATGCTAAAAAAATATTCCTCTCCGATCAAAGACATTTTGACTCTGATACGAATTAAATCCTCTTCGATCAGACAAATTGACCGATAAAAATTAAATCCTCTTCGATCAGACAAATTGACTTCGATAAAAATTAAATCCTCTTCGATCAGACAAATTGACTTCGATAAAAATTAAATCCTCTTCGATCAGACAAATTGACTTCGATAAAAATTAAATCCTCTTCGATCAGACATATCGACTCTGATACGAATTAAAGCCCCGATTAAGGCACTCTTTTTGGCTCCGTCCGGCCAAAGCAGCGCCGTGAACCGGTCTTCGCTGTTCGGAACACCGCCGGTTCCTGTTGGTGCAGATCAACGGCCTCGGAGCGCCGGTCGATGCCACGGGACTGTTGCATGGAGGAGCAATCGTCAACACTAACACACACACTGATATTGACACGTGCGCGCGCAAGCACACGCTTTCATGAGTGTATATATGTATGTATATATGTATATATGTATATGTATATATATATATATATATATATATATATATATATATATATATATATATATACACACATATACATACGACACACACACACACACACACACACACACACACACACACACATATATATATATATATATATATATATATAATATATATATTATATATATATATATATATATATACACATATATTTGTGTGTGTGTATGTATATACACACATGTATATATGTATATGTAAATATGTATATATATGTATATAATATATATATATATACATACACACATATATACATATAATATCACCTTGAATTTTGATCGCCTCCCACAGCAGCAGGCGGGGCCGCGGGCGCGAGGGCGCTACAGGTCCTCCACCTCCCACTTGGCCTCGTGGGCGCGCCCCTGACTCGGCAGCGGGACCTTCTGCTTCCTCGCCTGGAAGACCCGCTGCCCTTGGGCGGGGCTCTCCTGCAGCGTGGGCAGCTTGTTCCGACGCGCCGAGAACCCCTGGCGGGTCGACCCTATCCGCGGCAGCACGACGGATCCGGCGCCGTGGCTGCTGTCGGCGAAGGGCGGGTCCCGAGCGCCCTCCTTCCTGGCCCCTGGCGCCGAGACGGGGGCCAGGCGCCGCCGCCCCACCGGCAGCCCCGACCGCGACCTTCTGGTGACGATAACGTCCATGCCAGACCCTTCTGGGACGTCCAGCAGGGGGTCCTGGGACCACGCGGAGCCAGGAGACAAGTCCCTGGCCGCGGGAAGGTCCGCGACGTGCAGCTTCCCCGTCGCAAAGCCCGAGAAGTCGGCGCTCGCAATGGGCGACGTCTTCCGCTCGGCCTTGATCGGCGCGAGAGGAGCTCGGTTCCGGGAGCGAGAAAGATTCGTCGCCTTCTTATTCCTCTGACTGAGCGGATCCTTTCGCCCCCCCCTCCGCCGGGGATTCAGGCTAGAGCGTTTGAAATCCGTGTTCCGGGAGGGGTCAGCTGTTTCCCCTCGAGGAGCGCGTGGGGGCGAGTCGTCAGGAGCGGCGTCAGGAGGAGTCGACTCGTTGTTTTCACCAGGCGGCAAAAACTCACTTTTTTGACTCGAAGGTCTCGGCGATGGACTCATCTCTCCGGTCAAGCTCCTCTTTCTTTTGTTCTGAGGATGGGACACCTCTTCTTCCTGTCGGTTTGGGAAAGAGAAACAAATTAGCTTTGTATAACTACGAATTTAGGATTTTCTTTATATTTGTGTAACGAAAAGTCGGTGCTAATAATGAGTGATTAAGTGTAATACAATTGTCAAAGCTAATACAATGTATATATTACATAATTTTAAAAACTAAGCATGTGAAAACACTCTTTGCCTCATGACACAAAACAAGTTCTGCAATCAAAAGTTAATTTTACTTTACTTATGTTATCATTAAATCGAGACAAATTGCAACGTAAACCTATGGATTACAAACTCAAAAATGTTCTAACGTCTGACTCTGAAAAATCTCTCGATGTTTGATCTTGGAGTCTTGGCTCAGATTTATCTTTACTATTATTTCTTGCCAGATAAGTACGCACGGGTCCTATTTTTTTTCTTTGAATTTTGTCACTAGCTATTTCAGATTTTAAGTCCGTATCTCCTAGCCGACCAAACCAAAAGACGCCATTTTCGTCCGTATCCCCTTTCCCGCCAAAATCCATGCTCGTAACTTCAAGACAATTACTGAAGTCATAAGGTTCAATTTTGATATTCAGCATCGCATACAGCAACCTTTGTCTTTGATGTCGGGGTCTTAATGGCTTGGCTCGCTCTATCATTTTAAAATAAACCTGTGGATTTTCGTTTTCACTCGTCGCATCGAAGTTCGGTGACAGCAGATTATCTGGCACTTTGAATTCCTTTTCACTATTGCCTTTTACTAACACTACGTTAAATCGATGCTTTGGTGTCATTTCTAAATTTTCCTTTTCACTTTTATCTAACTTAAAAGGCGAAACTGATATGGGTGATGGAGTTGGGTTTTTAAGATCAGATTTCTCTTGATTTTTCGGGGTTTCTGTGGTTTCATTGGCAACAGATTCCTGCATTATGTCCACACTATCTATTTCCTCGAAAAATAGTGACGAAAGGTCTAAAGAGATTTCATCTGGTAAAGGTGCAGTCTCTTTGAAAACTTCTGATTCTGGTAACAATGCTGGCACACCTATTGTTGGTTCTGGTAACACTGTTGGTTTTCCTCCCGGGCTTGTGTTGTGCAATGTTGCTGGTAATTCCGATGGACTTGGTTTTGGCAACACTGCAGGGACTTCTGATGTGGTTGTCCCTGGTTCTGGTACCACTGCCACATCAAATTCAGAAGTTATATCTGGTGCCATTGATGAAACTTTTACTGTTGGTTCTGGTAACGCTGCTAGCTCTCCTAGTAGTGGGTTGTATGGCATCTCGGTTGATGCTTTTGATGTAGGCCTACTTGGTTTTGGCAACACTTCAGGTACATCTGGTGTGGTTGATTCTGGTAACACTGCTGGGACTTCTGAAGTTGGTTCTGGTAACACTGCTGGGACTGCTGAAGTTGGTTCTGGTAACACTGCTGGGACTTCTGAAGTTGGTTCTGGTAACACTGCTGGGACTTCTGAAGTTGGTTCTGGTAACACTGCTGGGACTTCTGAAGTTGGTTCTGGTAACACTGCTGGGACTGCTGAAGTTGGTTCTGGTAACACTGCTGGGACTTCTGAAATTGGTTCTAATAACAGAGTTGGAATTTCTAATGTTGGGTTTGGTAACATTTCTGGAGCTCCTGAAGTCGAGTCTGGTAATACTGCTGGTTTCCTTGGTGGAGGTGTGTCTGGTAACTCTGGTATTGGCAACAATGTTGGAACACCCGATGTGGATGACTCTGTTGACACTACTGGGTCTTTTAAGGTAAGTTTTGGTAATACTGCTGAACCTTCTGAAGTTGATTCTGGTAACACTGTTGGGAATTCTGGTATTGGTTCTAGTAACACTGTTGGAACTTTCGATGATGGTTCTGGTAACACTGCTGGAACTCCTGATGCCTGATCTGGCAACGCTGCTTGGATTTCTGACACTGATTCTGGTAACTTTGCTGGAACTTTCGATGATGGTTCTGGTAACACTGCTGGAACTCCTGACGCCTGATCTGGCAACGCTGCTTGGATTTCTGACACTGACTCTGGTAACACTGCTAGAACTCCTGATGTTTGTTCTGGTAACACCACTGGGAATTCTGGTGTTGGTTCTGGTAACTCTGCTGGAATTTCTGGTAACAATGATGGTTTTGCAGGAGGCGGGGTGTCTGGTAACTCCGTTGATACTTGCAATGTGCTTGGTTCAGCCGTC